GCTAACCCTAAGCTAACCCTAAGCTAACCCTTTACCATCATATTTCTAACCCTAGGCTAACCCTAAGCTAACCCAACTGTGGGGCCCCATGCCTGGACCCCAATAGGTTTAGGGTCAGGGGTCACGGTCAGGCTGTAGAAATGAATGGAAGGCCCCACAAAGCTAGAGAGACAAGTGTGTGTTGGTTACGTTGGTGGAGGCGTGCAGCCAGTAGGCGATGTTGGTTTCCATGGTGACCCACTCCAAAGGGGATGAGCTGTACTTGTGTTCAGACTCTTCCTGTTTCACAGTCAGCATCTTCCACTGCAGTGACATCACAGCATTACAACATCAGATAGGAGTGAGGTCATCATGAGATGATGCGTCCGCTGTCTCACCTGAAGCTCTATAAACTTGGACCAGAAGGAGATCTTTCGGTCCACGTTGATGTGCGTCGGAGAGTGAAGCTCCGCCTCCCGCTCCTTCTGCTCCTGACCTGCAGGTGATGCATCATGGGAGATCGTAATGTGACAATAGTGACAGAGGAGGAACCGTTTCAAACTCGACCTTCCCTCTAGGATATAATGGCGTCTTTTTCTTCTTCCTAACTCGTAATTTTCTGTCATTAGTTCACTGTTTCACCTGCTGCCGGATGCCAGCAGGTCTGCTCCAGTGTCGTTGCATTTACCCCTTTAGTTCAAAATAGTACTAACAACCAAATCTTGTGACTTTTTTTTCTGCAAATGGAAATAAAAGCACTGAACTCTGCCCTCCTGAGTGAGGGCACCTTAAACCTCTGTCTTCATGCAGAACCGCTGTAGCTCCCAGATCTGCTCGGGTCCTGCTTCATGTCTGTGACATCACGCTACATGATTGGCTGAACGTTGCCACATGATGTAAATCATTGTGGTTGCCCAGACAACGATAACATCACACAGCGTCAGTGTTCCAAGTCGGGAGCATCTGTAGCGTTAGCGTGTTTAATGACTGAAAAAAATCAGTTCCTGGTGAACAAAGTGTTAGACAGTGATATCTGCTGCTATAGGCTTAGACTGCTGGAGGACATAGGGACCCCTTTTTCATCATTCTGCTTCATTCTATCTCTATTCTCCCACTCTGCAGAATCTGTTAGTTCAATCTCTAACGTTCTGCTCTCTCTGCTTTTTCTCATAGTAGCTTCATCTGGTCTGTTCCTGTTTGGCTGTGACTCCATCCTGGAGAGAAATATCAGCTGTGCTGCTGCCATCAACACCTTTGTTTCTAGATGTTGGAGCTTGGCCTGTTTTCCAGTGTAGTCCTGTTTCTCTGACTGTGACTAACTGGATGTGCTCTCTTCATCCTCTGACATGGGAGCTGGCTCGGAGCTCGTCTGCCTGGCTGTGTGTTTCCTGGACGGGGCCGCCTGTGGAGCTGGTTGACAGTTGCCTTTTGTATCTATGCTTCTTTTTCTATGTCTGCTTCTGTCTCCTTGAACCCCAGTGGGCCTCAGCAGATGGCCGCTCACACTGAGCCTGGTTCTGCTGGAGGTTTCTTCCTGTTCAAAGGGAGTTTTTCCTCTCCACTGTCGCTACAAGCATGCTTAGTGTGAGGGATTGCTGAAGAGTCAATGAGTCGATGCAATCAGCTGGTTTTCCTTAGATAGAAAACTTTGAATCAATCTGACTGGATGATCTGGTGAACTGGGAAGTGCCTTAATATGACGTGTTGTGATTTGGAGTTATAGAAATAAACTGAATAGAATTGAAAGAGTTGGGTAGCGCTGTGGTTAGCAGTAGCTAACAGGTTAGCCTCTTTTAGCTCGGTCAGTTAGCCATCCTAAGCTACGCTACTTTTAACTTTGTGTCAACAACAACCGTTAGTTTTCTACAAGTAGAATAAATGTTTAATTCGCCTAAAATCTCAATGAAAGTCATTTTTAAAATGTTCCATTTTTCCTCCTCTGACCTCAGATCTTAATAAAAAAGAATAAAAACAAACTAAAACTTTTAGCGTCTCCTTGTTAAATAGCAGAGCTCAGTCAGTCTTTCCTTCCAGACTGATGATTGTTTTCTACTTTCAGCTAATTTAGATCAAAATGTCCAATAAAAGCAAATAAAGGGAATAATATGTTGAGCCTCCAGAGGGGATGTGATCCTTCAGAAACGTGTGGAATACAGTTTGTCTGAGTGGAGTTGCCGTATGGTGATGTCATAAGAAGGGGCGGAGCCCCGAGCAGGTGTGGTACAGCAGCAGAGAGTAAACCTTTCCAGGTGGAATCAGGTAGAGAATGAAACGCTGCTGTTAATCCCGCCTAGATTGGAAAATTAAATCATGAAAATCATTTTTAACTGACAGCGATTTCTCACATAAAAAACGACATAATCCTTCTACTGCCTCATTCTGTGTGTCTTTGCACTGCTGCTCCTTTTTTTACGGGTTGTCAAACCCCTAATGGTGCATTCATGCCACCTATTTCTATGGAGTGTGGATCTAAATGGCTGAATTCTATGTTGAAAGTCTCTATAAATCTCTTCATGTTTCTTCCTCCCTGCTATCCTCTCTCTCTCTGCGCTGCAGGCGGCCAGAATTAGGCGATGACATCAAACTTTTCTTGCTGAGGAGTTGGCCGCGCTGACCTGCACTGATGCAGACCGTTTGGGGCTGGGGGGTCCACCGGGCTTTGCGGTTAAGACCAACCTTAAACTGAGGGTTGGAGCTTAGGGGCCGGTTAGGGATTAGAAAATAAACTCTGACTTCCTGCAGGGGCCTTTAGCTCAGCTTCATGTTCTATGGATGAAACCTTGGTCCTGCTGAGACTGAAGGAGCCATTGATGCTACGCTAACGGCCCTTAATGCTAGCCAACATCTCAGCTGCTCTCTCTGCTACATGCAGCCATCTCTGCTGTTGCTGCCGGATCGGCGCCGCTGGGTGTTTCTGCCTCTGATGGCGGCTCTCACTGAGCCTGAATGAAGCGGTCAGGTTCTTCAGGATCTGCCCAGAGGAGCAGGACTTACTGGTTCCGTATCGGTGCTCCTCCACGGTCCAGGCCAAACTGCTGCCGTGTCCCTTCTGCAGTTTTTCTGCGACGACCTCCAGCTGATGGAAAGCCCAGTCTGGAAGAGCCACGCCGCTGAGCTGCAACACAGACACACTGGGCTCAGTGCTGCTGTTCTGCTGTGGTTGAAGTGGGACGCCGCTTCCTGTTCGCACCTTGAGGACCGCCGATGTGTTAACGTGAACCAATCGGACCTCAGACCGGATGGTCTTCCACACCTCTGACTCCGCCTCCCTGTTGTAGATGTCCTGAGGTCACAAAAACAGAAACTCTGAAGGTCAGTCAGTCTAAAGTCCGCCACCAGGTGTCACTGCTGGGCTGTTAGTGTGTAACAGGCCTGAAATTAGCCTGCCCAGCAGCTAACCGCTAACCGCTAGCAGCTGGACGGTCTCATCAGAACAGTTCTGCTCCATGTCTGCGGTTCTGATTCTGAACGGAAGAAAACCGGCGACGGAGTTTAAAACGGTTCCATTTAAAGATGGCTGATGGAGGGACCGCCCCCCCCCCTCACAGGAAACGTTAGCTTGCTGGTCAGGGCTCGCTGTTAGCCGCTGACAGAGCTGTCAATCATCCAGATCAGCCTCTGCCGCCTCACATCCACCATCTTTAATCAGGACTTCTGGAGTACCCGGTACCAGAACCTTTCGCTCCTCAGGTTTACAGGAATGAGAAACCATTCCAGTTCCTGGTTCTGATGACCCAGATGACCTAGGATCAGCTCAGGTTGATCAGAACCTCTCAGGTAGACTCACCACCCTCCACAGGTTCTGAGCCGCCATGGAGACGTTGAAGTCGATGTACCCAGAAACCTCCTGAGCCTGAGGACTCATGGGAGCTGCTACGTCATGACTGGAGGAGGAGAAGGAGGAGGAGGGATCAGCTGGTCCTCAGACACCATGACATCACAGCAGGTGAAGGTTTACCTGTTGAGGAGGCGGGATGTCATCCCATGAACCAGCTGGATGACATCACCGTGACGGACGGGTCGGGGAGGAGTGTCCACCACCAGCTCCTGTCTGACACACAGACAGCTGCTGCATGAGACTACGTTTCCCAGCAGGCATCAGTGAGACGGTACAGAACCAGAACCATGTTGGACGGTTCTGATCCAGAAACCTCTACATGCTTCCAGGCAGCGTGGGATCAATGTCTGCTGTATTTGAACATACACCTGGAAAAGCGGTCCATTCCGGTCCGCTCCGGTCCTGGAGGCGCCCTACCTGCCCGGGTCTTTGATGATCCACCAGTTGTTGACATCTTTAAAGGGATAACAGGTGACCTGCTGCTGGTGGGAGCTGCCCCGCCCATCCTCATACCTGAACACAAAAACAGGAAGTAAGCGTACCCAGCCTCCTCCTTCGCTGCTTCTCATTGGCTGTTGGGAAGACTGAGCCGGCAGCACCTGATTGGATAGTTGGCTTTATGTGAGTGGAGCCAGCAGGGGAGGGGCTGGGAGGCGGAGCTTCTTAACGTCACCTGACTGCCGTACGCCACTTCCAACGGCTGACCCTTGGTGATCCTGGAGAGGCCGCCCTGAGACAGAGCGGGAACGATCAATCATCATGGATCAACCAGGTATTCATCCAAACCAGTAACAGACGGACACACAGAACTATTGCTTCTAGAACCAGTCCGTCAGACTGGTTCCACCGAGGCCCGCAGACTCCATCAGCCACGGTGTTCTACTGGAGACAAACCCAGCCGCCACACGGCCGCCACACGGCCGCCACACGGCCGCCACACGGCCGCCACACGGCCACCAGTGGAACCAGGCTGACATCCTGGTTCTAGAAGATCCCAGGAGGACCCTCCGAATGCTGAACAGAACCCCCCCAGAGCCCGCCCGGGTTCATGCGACACCTGAAGGAAACTGGACCTGGAGGACCGGGTTCTAGCAGAACCATTAAAGCTGCTGAACAGGTCTGGCTGTGAAGAAGTGGGCGGGGCTACCTGCAGGCTGGCCTGGAAGGCGGAGCTCATCAGCTGGTCATGTGGTCCGCTGTGCTGGAGGATGCTCAGATGAACGTAGAACCAGAACACGTAGAGTAGAACCGGAACCACCAGCAGACACAGAACCTTCAGCACACAGTGGATGAACACGCTGAGCTGCAGCGACACAGAACAGGCAGTCAGAACCGGGTCAGAACCTTCCGTGCTCACAGCAGACTGAGCGCCACTCACATGACCCACGGCCCGGTTCCCCATCTGCCTCCAGCTGTGCACAGAGGCCAGGCCCAGGAGCAGCAGGTAGGAGGACAGGCCCATGTACTTCACCCTAAACGGGTCGGACCCGTCGTGAACACGCTGCGTTAAACAAGGTAAACATGACGAGAACGTGACGAAAACACCAGGAAGATCGGACTCACCCGACGGCAGCCGAGCAGGAGACCCCAGACAGGAGGAGCCAGCAGAACCTGGACCAGGACCTGAGGAGAGGACAGGATCAGAACTGGTTCTTTGGTCAACAGTTTCTACTCCCAGCTGCTCCTTCCTTCATGGACCCATGTTGGTCGTTCAGGTCTGCTGGCAGAACATTCTAGCCAGAGATGAAGCTGACCGGGGTCACAGCGCCCCCTGCTGTCAGAGCCACCCACTGTCCTGACCTGCTGGGGCTGTTGTGGAAGCGCAGGTATGAGAAGAAGGCCAGCAGCATGAAGAAGATGAGGAGGGCCTCCAGGAGCATGAAGCGTGATTGGACGATCAGCGAGTTCTCTGAAACCACAGGAAACCTGGATCACTTTCAGGCCCTGAACGTAACACGGTCCTCCAGGGGCTCCTGAACGCCTCCCAGCAGCAGACTCACCCAGCAGCAGCAGCAGAGCCGCTCCCAGAGCCGACAGGTGGGAGAATCCCAGCTCCACCGTCAGCAGGTAGACCAGAGGAACGCAGAGGGCTCCGCCCAGCGCCGGCAGCAGCCGCAGGGTCCAGACGCTCACACCGCAGGGGAACTCTGGGACAGAACAGAACCAGAACCATTACAGGCGGACCAGGAAACACAGCCAGCAGTGGAGATGCTTCATGTATCCTAGAGTCCCGCTGGGGTTCTGGAGGACCGCAGCGCTTCTCTGAGATGTTCTGGTTCAGTGAAGAACATCTTTCATGGTTTTTCATCGATGGTTTCTGTTCCTGCTGACTGAGATGTTGAACAAACCAGCAGTTGGAGGTCCATGAAGGAGGCCTCACTGTCCCATCAGAACCTCCTCAGCTTAGATTCAGGGCTAATGGTGTCGCTGTCCTTGGTGCTGAAACCCGCCATCTTCGGCTTGTCCTGCATGAAGGAGAACCTTTGGCTAGCTTCTAGAACAAAGGTTCTGCTGTAGATGTTCTGGTCCGATGGAACTTATGCAGTCGCTTTACTGATCAGGATGAACAGAACCTGATTCCTGGTCTAAACCCGACCCAAACCGGGTTCTGGAACCGCTGTGAAAGAACCGGATCCCAACGGTTCTGCTGAGCTGCTACCACCTGGTGCAGGAAGTGGGTGGTTAGAATCCTGATGACCTGAATGACACGGGTAGGACTGCGGACAACCCCTGCTGTGAAGTGGTTCTGGGTAAGTAAACCGGACCGGTCGCCATGGTTACCTGCTCCAATCCGGCTCCACACAAAGTTCCCGTCGAAGCCTCCCAGGTAAGCTGGATTAGGAAGAACAGAACCAGGATGTTGGTACCAAACCGCGCTGCGGCATCACAGCCTGTTGTCATAGCAACCAACCTCCCAGAGCCAGGATCATGTGACCAAGCGGTGGGCCGCTGTCGTCGACAAAGAACTTCCCCTTCATGTAGAGAGACACAAACGGGCCGTAGTAGACTTCATCGAACCTGCAGACAGAGAGGTTCTGAAAAGGTTCTGGTACCACTCAGACGTACCAAGAGGCCCAGACACACTCACACCACGGAGCCGGGGTGGCCCAGACCGCCCAGTCGGGTCCACAGGGACAGCAGGGTCACCAGGAGCAGCAGCAGGTCCAGCTGTGCCGTCACCAGCAGGGGGAGCCGCAGCATCTCTGGACCTGAAACAGGAAGTACTGTTATCAGAACCAAAAGGTCCAGATCCAGGCCCAATAC